GTCAGTAAAGATGTTTCAAATTTATTCTCAATATTCGTATCTATGTGTGGCACAATTATTCATAGAGCCGTCGAACCTATTCTTGAAATGTGCCTGTACAAACACATATATATACCGTATAACTAGTCATCCGCATTTCATTTAAAGAAACATGTATCGAAGTAGTAGTATATACGAACAGTGTAGACGAGAAACCGTGATCTCAGTTTTACAACCTCAAATGCAAGCACCTATATGCAATCGCATGGGCGACACTGGCGAGTTGTCAGGTGATTCGTGTTTTATTGTTGTATAATTAGCCTCATATCCGAAATTGCCTTAGTATGCCCCTGGAAATGTGACCCCTGAGGTGACGTTCCGTCACTTTCAAGCGGACTTCGAGAACAAGTCCCCGAAACTTGCTATGTTTCGTCTCAAGGCTGTTCTTTGACAGATCGCATCCATACGATTCAAAGATGAGGTGCAATCGGAAACTCAGTCGGTTCGTAGGTGCCAACCGCTAGGAAAGCATGCCTTACAATGCTCGCTCGATCAGGTACGCGTACACAACACAATGTCGTACAGAACAGGCGAGCTTTGAGTTGGTCCTCTAACAGAGGACCGTCGATGCTTGTCTATTCTACCAGGCGGCATGAAGCTAAAGCTGTCTTGAATCCTTCCGATTGTTCGTTTATCGCCTTGCAGCCCTGGTATTAACGGTATCGAAACGATTAATTAGTTTATTGACGAATAAATGAGGAAAGCCGCATTCGAGAATAGTAGGTTGTTTTTGTTTTTCTAGCGCGTCTGTCTACATGAACCATACGACTGTGCGAACGTGTGGTTGTAACACAGCTATCCTACAGACACTCTTACAACGAGATATACAATGATACGAGTGTGCAGGAGAGACACTCCACACATTCATACGACGCCTCCTCGCAACATAGTCCTCTTAAGAAGTACCTGGGTCGTACAAGGCTGACCATGTGGCTACCAGTGTACGAACATACGGCGATTACGCATGCACTCTTCCCAAACAAAGAGACGATAACCAACCGATAGTACCGTTGCTGATATCAGACCACCCCCCCCCACTCTCTCTCCCAGCCCCCCCCCTAAGTCAGTTCAGACCCTCCTCCCCACATGTTTACGAGACCCCCCACATGTATACCTACCTTCCACCGCGTGCACCGTTTCTGCCTGTTGTTGCTGGGCCACTAACGAACGCCCAATCAACGGCGATCGTCTGGTCCAGAAGTTCGGTACCGTTCAGACCGCTGATGGCTGCTTGTGCTTCTTCGTGTGTGCCGTACTCTACTAGAGCGTATCCCTACAGGTGTATGAATAGACTTTAGCAAACTCAACCAAGGACAAGGAACGACGTATAGAATCCAGATTTGGCAATGAGTTTGATATACCCAATAGGACTTTGCATATGCAAACGTATGCCTGTGAGCTTTTGTATACTCAATTGACCTATAGATTCTCAACACCAAAATGCACAACCAATTACACTCATAAGTTTGTGCGAAAATATCTAAAAAGTTCTCCCAAGTGCGGTCTTCAGTGGAAACGAGACCGCCCATGTGCTCGATATACACAACTCAGCACACAACCCGCCGTCACGGTTGTACTTCGCAATCATGGATGAACAGCGGTCAGACGAGTACTCATGGGCCGCAAGTGAGAGTGCGTGGCTGCGTGTCTACTGGTATATGAACAGATTGCACTGATAATATGAATTAATGCACGATCTGAATACAGACTTAATACAGAAAGGGTAGAATAGACACCATCGTACCCAGTGTATCCTACTGACCATGCACTTCACTGCTATTCCCATCCAAACTACATAGGTTGAATCAAAGTCACATACTTTAACGAAACCGGTTCGTCGGTCCAGGTTGAGATGTAGATTCTTTATCTCACCGAAGTCTCCGAAAGCCTCGAAGATGTGGTCTTCCTGTGCTTCCTCGTGTATGTGCGTCCCCACAACAATGTATCCCTCTACGGCTGTTGGGCAGGCGATTGAATGTTTATTCATACAAGATTAAGCAGGTATATCATATCGGTGTCTCGAATAAAATAAACATAAGACAAGTTTTGTATAGTCGGCTAACATAAGCCCCTAATACTAGTATCTCGTCATAGTGCTTCGCAAAGAGTATACAGTGCTTTGTAGAAATACACACTGAAGTAGCTGAAAAGAACGTGAATACAGCGTACACAGAAACAGCCTAGTCAGATATACTGCCATCCTAGCCATCATGAGGGAACCCAATACCACTGTACATTCACAAGCAATCCGGCGAAGGTTTCAGAAAGATGATAGGCTCAATTTATGCGCACTCACTCCCACCTACAGAAGTGCACTATGGTGTTATTTGATACGCGACACAGATTGTATGATTGTATCGCGTTCAAAACGCATTGGGCGACGGGGCATAACCGATTGAAAGCCATATACGCAAAAAAAAAATGTACGTAAACAAACTTGCACACATTCAACTTGTTGTAGTTCCAGTCGTTTCAGATAAAAGCGTTCGACTTCTTAACATACATCGTTGTGCGCCTTGAGTTGCAGCCTCGGATGAGATGGACTCGTAGGTATCTTTTGTGTTGTCCCTTCGATCTGTTAGGTGAACGGCAAAGGAAATAAAAGCTCAGAACAGCGTCAACCCTGTGACATGCATAGCATTGTGTATGTGGCGTTGGATCGGAAAGTTCTTCAAGAAACGAATAAACACACATACGAGCAGAGCCATAAACGAACAAACACACTTTGAATCTCTACACATGATAAATATTTCCGAAGGTATGTATACATGATAAAGTATATCTGAAGCCAAGGGAAATCAACATGACAAAAAAATATCGAACAGCTACATACAAATATACGAACGGGAACAAGCAAACATACATACGGAACAAACAAATGGTTGACTTTATGCACACGTTTATACGTATATGTAGTTCGCTCACATTCTCATACATAAAATATATATGTAAATTAATATACGCCACTGACACACACGTATAAATCTGTATAGGAACGTTTGCAACATTATCTATATATGGAGGCGAATAATGATATAAAAACAAAAATAAATTCCACATGAACATGATTATCAGCATAACCATAGATATGAATAGTATATATATATATATATATATATGGACCCGGGGAGGAGAGTTGTCCTGTCCCCTTGGGATTATCTGTGTTGGAGTTCAGCTAATCTAATCTAATCTAATAAGTGGTGGTGGAGGTATGAAATAGCCTGTAAGATTTTAGCAGATAGTAACAGCCTATATGACCACTAACGTGGGGCATCAGCGCATAT